TGTGATTGAGTTTTAAGTGAACAATCAATTAAATTCTTTCAACTTTTATCACTAAGTAATTGTATAGTTTCCTTATTAATTAAATTGTTTTAGATTGAGATCATGAACCGATTGATGTTAGACCACCGTTGGAAACCTGGAAGCACTGGACGGCCAATTCATCCCGATATGGGACTCCTCAGTAGTGCGCATCCACAATCCCGCTCGCGGGATTCGAACCCAGGGCCTTCAGTCTTGCGCCCGAACGCTTAACCTACTGGACTACTGAGCCGGCATCCAACGGCGTTAGTGTCTAACCCCAAATAATCCATGAAATTACGTGACCATCTTCCATTGCACTGAGGTAGAGATCTGTCCCTACCCGACACGGATTAGCTCCACTGGTCACGGCTTTTCACTGCTGAGGAGTCCCACAATAGGACGAAACGGCCGTCCAGTGCTTCCAGGTTTCCAACGGTGATCTAACATCAATCGGTTCATGATCTCAATCAAAAACTTAATAATCTCCACAACCCCTATACTGGAAATTGTTTTAATACATCAACGGAATTAATATTGTGATAGTGGTTTTCTTTTTTTGTTTTTTTTGACATAGAAGAGTTGATTTCTATTTATTTTTGTCATCAATTATACATGTGATACTACTTATTCTGCATATATAAGTATAATTTTAAACAAAAGTCAAATGATGTTAATAAAAATTCAAATAAAAAAGTTACTTGTAACACAATTATTCTATGAATCACTGGCATATGTGCATACTGTGCGTATTGCCTTGATATAACCTTCATTCACAGGCATTATATGCAAAGACGGATGGTGACTAGCAGTGGAATCCAGTTTTATGCGCGTTTCGTCCTATCTACGATTCGTTAGTTGGATGAACCTGCATCTCAGAGTTAATGTTCACTCTGGGGCTCGAACTTATTATCGTTCGCTTCAAACACCATCGCGTTATCTACTTAGCTACTAAGTCCTGATAGCCACTTGCTTGTGCAATGAGGTGAAGTTTAAATGCACTTGGTATTGCTTGCTTGAATCTTCCCATTGATATAAAATCTGTTTCATATAATTAGTAATAACGACAATTTTAGGTAATGGATTTGTGAATATTTTTGAATTTCATTGAAATTATCAGCTGATCTAAGTTGGATTATCATTTTAAACCTAGAAGTGATGAATGATCGTTTCGTTCTTATATGTTACTCCTTAAGAGTACACATCCATGACCCTGGATGAGAAAGTCGAATACAGGATAATAATAATGATCATAGGGCTATTAAATAATTTAATGCATTTGTCAGCAAATTTTCGGTTACTAATAATTGCGTAGATATAGTATCACATGTTTTGAATATCTGTTCGTGAGTGTTGAGAAAATTCTACCGATCACGTGGCAATGTAGCTGCTTGTTTGAGTGATTCATCATCACGTACAGTATTTTGTTGTTGCGAGGTAATCGTTAAGAATTTCTGATTGAATGACTTATTTCGTTGGTTGGCATTCCTCAACAAAGCGATCTGAAAGAAGTACTGATACGCTATGGCATTCTAATTTGTATCACACAGTTTTATAGACGGAGGTACTACAACTTAGCTAATTTGGTTATGATTGACTTCCTATAGGGTCGTTGATTACCTGAAACCATCCAACTTTTAGCTTATTTCTGTGACGTCTCCTCATTTCAGCAGAATAATACTACCATGTATAAACCAGTACTATCTTATTTCCACGAACTATCTTTAAGAATAGCATATAAAAGGTAAGAAGAAAGCTGAAAATACTTCTTGCTAGCGGCATTCAAAATAAGCTTCCAAGAGAGTTCCACGGAAGCGACAAGTTGTGTCGCATATCCAGAGTTGAAAACTACCGATTCTATTGTTAATTTTAGTATGTTCCTAGAAGCTGCTAGAATATTAAGATCACATACAGATCTGTAAACATCTTTAACCTAACCTTAGAAGAAAAACAGCTTTTAATACTATCTTCCATTTGTCCTTGACTCGGTGCCTAAGTGTAGTAAACTTCTGGGGACTAGAAAGATTTGGAAAATCAAGCATTCAGGCATCAGACAGCAACACAAGCATGAATAAATAGCATTAAGTTGTGAAATCACTGAATATGTTCACCGAGAGGCTTTCGGTTGTGTGGGGTATATAGTTCATGTTTTGATGACAATAATGTTGATGCATTCATTACTTATATAATTAATAATTTCAAGCTTTATTATTTTTAAAATCTCCTTCATCATAATCGATTTCATTCCTATGACTTATACCGTGAATCGACAGGCGATTTTAACCATTATATATCCTTGTTCCAAAAAGATCATTAATCTTACCTGGAAAGCTGTTTAACACCTGAAAGCACCAGACATTTGCTACTTTTTATTTCAACACTTTCTAAGTAATATACACTTACAGTGTCAAAACTTTTGTCAGATATATTATTCAAAACTCTTTAGTTCAATCAACTACATTATAATTCATTCACTGTCTCTTGGTAGTATTACTCATCAATTGCTCATAACTGCCTCCTCTATAGACTTGATTGATTCTACATATCACAATCATCTAATTGAAATCTTATGTTTACCTAAAACGTTGATAATTTTCTGCTCAATACCCAGTTTTGTAATCAAAGTTATTTTTAAGTTACGTAGAATCTTTACATAACCATTTTGTTTACTGAAATAAAAATACCATACTGTTATTATTGTACATCAACTGTAAGATTACGTCACTTTATATTTACTTTTTAAAAGGAGGATTAAGATGATATTCACTGAAATTTGTCAAATGATAAATACATATTGTTTATATAGACTTATAAGCGATGTATTTTAAAATAACCCATTCAAATCATATAAGAATAAAGTGTTGATATTGTAATGAGAGACAAAATAAATTATGCAATCAGAATCTGTTTATTTATTCATTCATTCATTCATATATACTCGTAATTCATTCATCATCATCATAATAATAATATGCTCATCGGTGACGAATTGGGAGATGTAATTCTCAGTTTTTTTATAAAATACTATTACCGCTAAAACTCAATCAATATTGAGTATGAAACAGATATTACTGACAACGATGGTTAATGATCGTAAAACATCAATAATTGATTCGAGTTAATAATGTAATTCACTGGATGAATGGATTCACCATGAGATCTAAAGTTTGTAGGCTTGATTGCTGATGAAGTCGTCTCAAAGTAGGATGAAACAACTGTTCAATATTGGTTTGGATCTCAATGGTTGTCTCAGTAAAACTAGTCCTTGTTGGGACTACTTCAAATGAAAAGGTCTTCATTAGCCTATTGTGTTTATGCACTGTATAATAACTGGACATACACTTCGGACACTTAATACAATATCGATAAAATGACCTGGTATTTCTATGAAATGTTCAGAATATCCTGTATTAAAAGAGAAAACGATGTAACAAGAATTTATATATATATTACCACAATAATTATTATTTCTGTTATTCTTAAGAATTGATATCGGCCAGAAAATCATTTAAACCAGGAAGCGTTGAACTGTTATTTTATCCCTCATCTGGAATTTTTCAACAAGGAGCCATTAGATAACGTAAAAGCTAAAACGTTCAGATTTAGCCAACATCAAATCGTAATGAAGATGACTATGAATTTTTACAAAATGTCAACATCTGACGTGCAAACGAGTGTATCAGTGGTGACATGTGAACCTCATAAGTGAAACTGGTTCTCTAAAGGTTACAGGTACACCTTAATTACATGGGCTAACAAGAACGCATCCTAAGTTCAAGGCTTCTTACCGACTCCTTTCAAAGACCTAACATTAAGATACACTAATTTCAGTGTAATATTTACTTTGTAATGAAAACTAATGTATCACATTACCGTCTATACATTTTGTTTATTCAAAATGGTAATATGATATGTAGGTTTTATTTTATTAATTTAAAATTGTTGTACTACGCTCCAATTGAAATCGGGTTATGCACAATTGAAGGATCAACGATAATAACTCATTAGTTAATGCCAGATTCAAAACAAAGTCATCTATGTTAGTAATAAGTTGCAGTATAGTACCTGATCGCATATGTAAGCTAATTAGATTTGTTGATCGATTTCTATCCGCGTGTACATAAAACAAAATTATGCTCCCGAAGCAGTTGCTATCACGATTACAACTCATCTATTTTGACACAACAATCCAATAATTGATGTCGATTGTCAATCAATCGGTCAGTAATCTTGAAGAGTTCATTTTCGGATAATTGAGGACGGTGTATTATTAACATCATGCCGTAGTAATGTTATCGTATGACCACAGAAATACAGAAGATGGACACACATTCTCTTTTGACCTAGTTTATTTGTGTTAATGATTCCCTAAATATCTCGTTGTCAATGAAAAGCCTGTTCATATTCTCTATATTCATTAAATATTCGAAATTATAATAATAACCTAGTCCAATACTGCTTTCTTATTACCCATTCTTTCCGAAAAATTGAACAAAAGAGTCATTACACCAATACCTGTTTGTATCCACAGACGTTTCATTTTGGGACGCACACATGGCTCATCATTAGTAGACCCCATTAGGCGAATTGATTCAAAAATTCTATCACCTGATAAATCATCAATCAATCGTCATTTTTAACTCGTTATTCTATGGTCTCATTTCTTCTCTAAGAACCGTGTCCTTCGTATATGATTTTTCCTCACAGTTGAAGGTAGTTGGTCTGATTTGCTTCTCATTTTGTTAGATTTTTTCGCTATTATAATGGTAATTGTAGCATTCACACTCATGCCATATCTTAAGTTATTTATGGCTGATTCCCAATGCCAAATTCAAGTTGTCTGCTGATCTCCAAACTATCATAATTCAATTATTGAATCGATTTATTGATTTTTCACACCTTCAGTATTCTCACTTTCATTTATTGTGATTTCTTCTTACATATTTATATATACAAACATTTATATATTTTACAACTAGCAGCAAAACAGAATTTTCTGCCTACCGGTGAGTCAGAATTAGTCAGTTCATTAGGAACTCCACCGAAAATTAAACAATCATATAAACGAAGTAGTCAATCTAATTTACTGAATCGAACAATCAACAGTGCTAAATTCAATCAAAATGTTAATCTTATACCAACACGTAGAGTTTCATTATCGAATTCACAAATTCGATTTAATGAAGATACAGATGCAACGGATTGTGTATCCACATTGTCCGGTGAAACTTCTCAAACAATGGAGTATAACGAATTTAATAAAACTCATCATGGTTCTGATCGAAGTGCTGCTTCTGGACGATCTAAAAGTAAGCGTAATTATTGCTACTTATTCTCTTTTGTCGTTATATGGATCCCCAGATTTGATCTCTTTTTTTTCCTTATTTTGATTAAGTTTTCTTCATAAATATTTCAAACACTAATGTGAACATGATATAATTGCAATTCCACGTGATGCCAACTAACTTTTTATATCTTCTTAGTGTAAACACATGGTGGAATTAACTGCTATTGACATTGTGATGTCGAAAAGTTAGATACAGAGAACTCATTTTAGAAAGGAAACCATCAGCAGATCACATTGATAATTGGCAGAAAAAGTGTTTGCATTTAAACCACATGAAAAACAAACATTGGAGTACACTCTTCAGGCATTTAGTTATTTGGTTAAGTGTAAATGAATGAAAACGATAATACAGATTAGTTAAAATAGTTTTTGCAACTTAATAACTGTCCTAATTTCAACAGATTATTTAATGTATACAAAAAGAGGCCCCTACAATGTACTCAGTTTTGAAGGCAAAGTATGTTTATAAGTGATCACAAAAGTAGAAATGTGGAAATGGTTTCAAACTACCAAATAGAGATTGATATATTTGACTATGATTCATTGTTTTCTCATTACGAATGAATAATATATACTATTTGACAAGGCATTTGACTTTTAACCACTGGTTCATAGGTTCACCTATCCCATTATCTAACCTTAAAGATAATAAGAATTAAATATTGAATGCTGAACAAATTTAAGAAGTCATGGATTTATTTACCTTTTGAGTTTCGATAGACCCAGTTATATATCATGATACATGGAAAAATACTATAAATTGATATAAAGTAAAAGATATTACAACCTACTAAGTTGATCAATTGGAAGTCCAAATAAAAATGTAATAATTGTTAAAATTACAATAGAAGCATTTTAGATCACCCTTAGACGGTAAAAAAAATCTCTAGTTGTGATAATAGACATTGGTAATGTACTATAAATCGTATGATTTATGTGTAACATTTTCTTTGTCAACATTAGTAACATACTTCAGAAACAAATGGACTGTTTAGATTTCTCTGTAAATGTCTAGAAATGTGTTCTTTTGACATAGGATATGATTTGTTGTTATTACTAATGGTATCATCACTGATTATACACACTTTTTGATTATTTCTATTCCTGATATAATCATCGAGTTTGTATTTTTTTTAAAAATGTTTTCTCCCTAGCTGAATTATTTCTAGTATCACTGGCTGATCTGAATAAAAAATGTCTTAAAACCCTCTGATCTCCTTTGTACTCCATTTATTTCCATAGTCACATTTTTTCTCATTTATTAATATGATTGAAGGTGATGTTCATGAAACCTTGCTTGATCTACGCTTCGCATCAACTGTTTTTCGTTAGCATGGTATAGTTACAATTTTAAGAGAATTGATACTGTTTGAGAGATTTGACATGATTCAATCATTGTTAAGGGTTAGATAAACGCTACAACGATCAAACAGTGTGAATGTCTCAGTTCTCTTGGAATTCAGTCGTGATTGCACGACTCAGTCGTAAAGTACTCAGCTATAACACTGTATAACTTTAATTTCAATCTTATTAGGATCGTCAAAAATGCGGATAAACATTGTTAACGAATTATAATTGGCGTAAATTGCTAATCAAGCAGATCTTCTTGATAGTTGCCTCCAAATTTCTAATCAACAGTTATTCGCTTGTGTAAGAAAATCCTGGCAGCTTACTTCCCTATGCACTTTGCTGTATGCTAAAAGTGTTATGCAAAAAGATAATTAATGTTTCAGAATTCAGTCATCCAAATCAAACATTGTTGTTCAACGACTGTTTATCATCCTTCTAAACTATAAATCTTTTCTACTTTTAATATTAATCATTCAAGAGTTGCATTGAAAGAAATATATTTTATTGCGTACTTCACGAATCCACATTATTCTGACAATCATTAAAAACCGGAGGACATTTAATAGCTGTTAGTTATCAACTAAAAGTAATATAGGATGACTGTGCAATATCGCGAATCGATTGAAGCTAGATACCAAAACCAGTGGAATTCGACTTAGTGATCTAAATTTTGGACACTCACCACGAAGTCTGGAGATCCTGGGTTTTATTCCCAGTGCGGTCATGGATGCGAACCATAACGAAACGACTGTCCGGTTTGTTCTAGTTTTCAATGGTTATCTAGGCGAGGTCAATTGATGAAGTAAAATATAAAATCCAACAATTTCTACAAACTCCTGTAATCAAATATATATCATCTTTTGTGTTACAGAGTAAATTGTGTTTAACTGATTCGCATGATGGGTATTTACTATCTAAAAACTTTATATCATCCACATTTCAGGTATCATGGGTGCTAGTGAGGAAGAAGGTCTAAAACTTGAAAATGAAGGTTAGTGTAATATTTCTGTTATCAATAAAATCAATCCATTGCAGATCTAATTATTAATGCTACTAGAAAAATCAAGTATTTTGTAAAATTAGGCAAATAAACCAACGAAACTGTCACATTGTATCTGGTCGATGAATAATAATCAGTGTTAAGCCATGTCAGTCATAAACGAGACAACGACGCAAACTGCTTCACTTCACATCAAGACGACAAAAATTATGATAATTTGGCGAATAGAATTAATAAATTCAAAGGTTAGAAGTTATGGAATAATGTTAAACTGAAGAATAATGTGGAAAATTGGGATTTTGAACCCTTATATCTAAAATCCTCAAATATCCTCCATATACCTTAAGCAGAAAGTTTACACTTTTAAACATGGTTTAACAAAACAGTCAATAGCCTAATGCACTGACATAATATTTTGATCTGGCTGTCACGAGTCTTTTTCCAACTTGTTTTTATACTAGGAAATATAGTAAACTGAATGAGTTAATAACTGACCGCCATGGTTAATCAAGGTTCACGTTCTCATTGTTCATTTTCTCATCTGCTTACAGTACATTACATTGAATTTCAATATTTCTCTCTTGGTAGTTCTACCATATATAAATTCTCCAGTTAAACCTTATCGACTCATTTCATACATATTTCAAATTACTTACTGTGTCACTCTTGTTTTCAGGGTGATCTAATGTTGTTTTCATTTTAATAGTTGATTTCAGATTGATTTAGGTCATGGAACTACGTACTTCCATTACAAAATAAAACTATGTTGACTTCAAGTCATTCAGTAAGCGCTTATTTGCTTTGAACAACGCATATACAGATTATTTGCTATCAATTTAAACCATTGAAGTGTACAAAGAAAACGCTTAATGTTCATACACTTCAATCAGAATACTAAGATGACATAATATTTGTTTTTTAAAGTTTCTATGCAGTCTACTCTTTGACTGTGTTCCCATTAATATATTTTGCTTTAGAAATTCCACACACAAAAGCTCACAGAAACTTTGATAGTTTCAACTTAGATATAAGTTGAAAACTGATTGTTTTTAAAAAATATAATTAATCAGCTGTAACGATTATGACGGTGTTGAAAATCAACGTACTATGAACCCTTCGTAGATTCAAAGTAGATGTTAAAATATAACGATCTCTAGAATAAAATCTCAACTGCTAAAGATCCAAAATGTAATTTGAAGATGAGCATTGGGTAGATACTGCTTCATAGTTTGATATGTCCATCCAGTGCGACTCTAACCAAGATCAAAATCAACTGCCACACAGTCACAATAATCTTATACTAAGAAGCAAGAATTTAATAGTTGACTTATTTAAGAACAACACATATAACGGAATGAGTGAATGTCTACTAGCTTGGTTTGGAAAGGCTCAAACAAAGACAATACTTAATCCTATCTTGGCACACACAGTTGATAATGAATGGTAGATAAAATAAAATCATTTTGAGTGACCTATCGCATACATTTGTTATTTCACAATGGGATTTAATCCCATCTCCTAAATATTAGCAGAACCTGTTAGGATTCGAACCTATAATCCTAGTTTATGTGACTAGAAGAAATTCGTGACATCCCTATCTTGACCAGATATAACTTAATAAACAATTTTATCAATGTTTTCACATCTCGTATGTGTTTGTTACTTTTCACCTCTTTCCGTTTATATTCTTCAATATGTAATTATTTACACACTAATTATGTAATTTTAATAATCTTTTTATGATTATTACTATCCAAGTTTGACCTATTTCCTATTTTGAACTATTAACTAGAACTTTTGTGATTTTACCATTCTTATCAGTACTACTAGTAAACCTGTCTTCTTACGATCAGTTTGTACTGTTCACCTGTTGTTCATAGATCATGGACTCATAAATTATTTTGGTGGAGTTTTGTTCTCTGAGCTGGATGGTTTGGTCCAGCTCAGAGAACAAAACTCCACCAAAATCATCCACCTGAGCTACAAATCTTCTCCATCATATATATATATATTAAAGATTGATGACTACCTAACTGAAAATCATATTGTTCACTAATATGTGTTATTTTAATTTCACAACAATAATCTTTACTTATATAAGAATCGTTAATTGACATTATCCGATTGATTGGCATCAACGATTTTAACTTTCCGTTAAATTGTAAAATTCAGTTTTCAAGTCGGTTATTGATGGATGAGCAAGCAACTACCGTCATCTATAACTTTTGTACTTCGCCAGGTGTTGTTAGTTTTTAATGAAAATTATCTACAAATTCTACGTACTGTCATGTTTGCGATGTTGATTAGTAAGTTTAGACTTATTTACTTAAACACTGACTAAGTATTTTGTATGTGTTACATCATTTAGAGGTCATAATTTGTTTGTGGCGGTAAAACACTCTATGAAGGTAAACTGTTCAACAGGTATTGATCATTTAATGTCAACCTTGTTAATTTCTATTGATTTAAGTAACTGTAAGTAGAGATGATCACGGATACATGCCATTTTCTGTCATGTCTTTCATTCATACGTTTGATAGCCAGTCGAATAGTTTCATCGTCATCTATCTCTGCATACCACAGGATATACTGCAGCTCCCTAATACTACTACTACTACTGAACTTTTCTCGTAAGTGATTTAAATAAAATGTTTGGAAGGAGTTCTGTATTAACATTATCATATTTTGTTATATCACGTTTCTTCATTATAAACTTATTAATTACTTTATGATCTTTTGTTCTTTCTTTTCATCAATATACATATCATGTGTCACAATAGCATTACGTTCATTATTGAACGATGCTAATCATCTCATTAGTACTATCAAATCGCATACAATAACATTGGAAACGGAATTAAATGCAAAAGTTAACGATGTTGATCGTTTAGCCGAAGAATTATGTCGTTTAAAAAATCGTCTTCTTTTAGATGGATTAACTCAATATTTGGAAAAAGTATAATAGTAAAAACCGTCATCAAACATACACATCAAGGAATTGATTATTTTTTTTTCTAAAAACAAAAATACAGATAAACGAGTATTGGACAGTCGAATTAAATATTCAAGTCAGCTTGATCATTATTATTTATTATGATGATGATGATGAGGAGGAGGAGGAGGATTACGAATATTAAATCTTTCAACTGTTGTTAATTGATTATTTCTGTATTACGGCTTATTCTCTTATCTGTCTGTCTAGACTCTATTAATTATTCTCAACTTTCGTATTGTCTATTTGTTGACATGATATTGTTTGTTCTTTGTCTGTCTAACTCTTCCTCGGAATCCCACCACCAACAACCTCTTTTTGTCCCATTACTATTATTATTATTATTATTATTATTATTGTCTGTATAAAGGCATTTAATTTTTATTACTACTATTATCCCCATTACATGGTATCTATTCCCTTTAGATGGTCTGATTCAAATTGTTTTTGTGTATGTGTATGTATGTTTCGAGGTAGATATAGAACCAGATAGAATTAACGCCCTTTTATGTACTGTTTTTCCTATAAATCAAAATATATTGATCTCCTTTTCATTCCTTATTATTTTTATGAGCTCGTTTGATTAAAATCAAAGTGTTAGCACAATTTTAGAACTAGTTTAAATGGCTGGCATAGATACTATATGCAACAATTGTCAGTTTTTATATACTTATATGATGCCTATCATATATCTATCGCCATTATTATTTATTTTTTTTTTGAAAAACAAAGACAAGCAATAATCTACAGATCAGATCTTCCAATATTCCTTTCATTGTTTATCAGTTTTTGTTTACTTTTCAAATCAGAAAAGAAAACTCAACTGATTCCAGAAGCCGATATCTTTTTAAAAAGAAATAGAGATGCTTATATCAGAATATTAATCGATTGACTTATGAACTTTCTTTTTCAATATTACTCTATATTAGGCGACAACTATGCAAAGCATCATAGAAACAGTATCGTTTATTATTATTTTTTCTCTATTCTAAACAAACACTTATGAACTTTTACACAGATTTTGATGTATACACATTCAGTTGTCATATATTTGCTCATTGTAAGTTTGAAAGACACTAATTGATCATTTTTTTCCCTTTTTTTTAATTGTTTTTTTTTTCTATTTCGAGTTAATCATTTGAATGAAAATAATAAAACAACTGATAACCACTTGCTGCATTGTTCTGTTTTGTATAACCATTATAGTTGACATTTCAATCAACCAATCTATCTATCTTGATAGAGTTTTGTTTTCTGAGCTGACCAAAGCATCCAGCTCAGAGAACAAAACTCCATCAAAATCATCCACCTGAGCTACAACTCTTCTGTACCATCTCAATCTATCTATCTATCTACGCAGTAAACTTGATTAGGTGAATAATTTGTTTACTCACTAAAACTTACACTTTTCTTCGACTTACCATGTGATCTACCGATGATATGTGGCTTTTGCCTGGCGTATGGTTTAACTTCTTGAGATTGATGTTTATACAACTTAATGATACTATTGAAACATTTTTTGGCTTCAAATTCTTGGACTCAATAAACACAGACAAGCTTCTATCGTCTTCTGTAGTCCTTAAGTCTATTAAGCATTAATGGATCTATAATATCCTTAACGATTATACTAATCATTAATTAAGTTGTCGTTAATGTTATGTTGTCTCATCTTTAATACAGATCGAATCTTATCGACCAAATTGCCCTTTAGCTGAAAATCTGAATAACTTGATATAGTGGTGATCTTTCTTTAACTTGTGTTTAATTCTGTAAAGAAATAAAACATTGTTTTTCTTAAAACTCCGTATACGATGTGTGGATAAATCACCAATTAGTGCAACAGGTGATTCTTAGCTTCCTAAACATTGTTATCAATCGCTTCAAAAATTGATGAACTAGCTACTTAAATTCATTCAGTCAGTCAGTCAGCTACAACGTAGGACCAGGCACATATGTGCATCGGTCCAGGTTGCCATACCGCATCAGCACAACAAGATGAACACCGGATTCATAGTAGTGGTTAGGTCAAAGGTGGTAATATATAAGAGAAAGATTGCATATAGAGATATAGTACAAGAAGAAAAAATTGGTTCGTAGAAAGAAAGGTATGAAGCGATTTTAATCTCTTAGTTTAAGGGAAGATGGAGAGTGTATACACCTACGCCATTGTGATCGATTCTGAGCCATGTCACAAAGAGTCTCCAACCATTGGTTACGATAGTCACGCGGACCCCAACCAAGTAGTCTGCAACTACCAACATGACTCAAACTAGAGGTTAGTGTCTTCAAGCACTGATGCCACGTTTTGGTTTGGCCGCTACTTACTTTCTTCCAACCATATCCAACACCGGTTAGCATTGCACGTCGTGTGAATCGGTGTTCAGGCATACGTAACACGTGGCCCAACCATCTCAGTCGATGAAGATTCATAACCTCATCAACTGATTTACCATCATTCCCTAATACTCTGCGTCTAACCTCACTATTACTTACCCGGTGATCCCAGCAGACGCCAGCAATATTTCTAAGGCTGATCAGACTTCAAAGATAAGTGAAGTTGTCAACGCGTTCGACTACTTCACTCCCTATCCTTAGTTCAGGTGTTGACGCAGTCCAGTCCTGAAGCAACAACTTGCATTTAGAGGGAGAGAAGCGCATTCCAAACATTCTGGCATTGTTGCTTAGTGCTGCCAGAAGACTCTGCGTTTTGTCAGCGTCTTCACCAAACAGGACTATGTCATTTGCGTATTCTAAGTCGATAAGTGGACCTCGTGGAAGGAGATCAATACCCGAGAACTCAGTCGACGAGAAAGTTATTTCCATCAGTAGATCTATAATGAAGTTAAACAAAAATGGAGAAAGTGGACAGCCTTGACGGACACCACTTGAGGTTGTAAAAGTAGATGACAGTTCGCCATAAGCTCTGACACGACTGGTAGTGTTCGAGTAAGGAGCCTTCACAAGGTTTATGTACTTCTGAGGTACGCCTTTCAATGACAGACACTGCCACAGAATCTCACGGTCTACCGAGTCAAATGCTGCTTTTAAGTCGAGAAAGACCACCACTGTCGGACGCCGATAAGTATGCCTGTATTCTAGAATCTGACGAATGGTGAATATGTGGTCGATGCAGCCACGACCAGGTCTGAAGCCAGCTTTGTTCTCTCGTGTTTTCAGTTCACGAGTCTTAGTTAGGCGTCTGATAATCTAGAATAAACTGTTTGTTAAAATATCTAACTCTAAGTTTCATGTTTATGAATTCGCTAGTTGTTAACTTATATTTACATCTAAATACATAAATTATACTATAATTTATCTCAGCCTTTGTTTATTTTGTTAGTATAATCGCTTATCACAGATATTTGAATGTGTTTTTTTGGGAATTGAATATAATCAATGAATATAGTATGTAAAAAGTCGTTCAACACTACTTTAGGGGGTTTGATACAATAATGATCATCATTAAACATTGTATTAGGTTAACATTTAAAAACTATAAAGTGTTCGACAACTTTATTGTTCAGAAATTAATGCGTTCGAGCTATTCAGATCTAGACTTGATGAAGAAGCGAACCTAGTGTATTTAGATTTTGCTGATCACTGAAAGGTGCGAAATTAAATATCATTCATGTGGAAAAAACAACTGACTTCATAATGAATATCGCAAAGTTTTACTAATAAGTGATGATCTCTGATGTAAACTATGTCGTTGATGGATTATAGTTTGGACATTGTAGTGGCCCAAATCGTAGGATTAGTTAGACAGTTTACAATGTAGTACTAATAATCACATTTCATACAAAACTAGGAGGTTCTCATACAAACAGAACATAATAGTAAACGACAAAATAAAAACACTGTATAGAAATGAATGCTAATTGTAATATTTCTTGGTGGTAATCAGATACAACTGAAATACACTCAATAAGTTAAGCTGCCCTTGTCTGTTTGCGCTAAAATAGAATGATAGAGTATATATGCTTCACAGGATTTTATAGGAGGAGAATAAATAATCTCATGAAGTGAAGGGTTGCCCGAAAATACACATCAATAGTCAATGATGCAATCAATAAATGCGAAGCAGACGACGACGAAAAAATATTTTGAGCACAGTTACATCAATAGAAATCAAACACTAATCGTACATGTAGTAATACAAAGCACGATTGATACGTTTGAACTAAACGTATTGAATCACAACATGGTTAGATATATGATGTCACGGAGCGAAGGCTAACTCATTAACCAAATGATACCGTTTCGCGTCAAAAATGTGATAATTCGAAGTTAGTTGTTGTGTGAAACCAAGTATAGTAAAATGAAAAAACCAACTCGTCCGGCTTTTAACAGTTTATGGATGAAAGAAAACCTAACAAACAGAGTATTAACATGGTCTGCTCAAATCAGTATTCTTGTTTTTTTTTAATCATTTTACTGACATTTTTCTAAAAGTCTGCAGTGTATATAAAAATCATCCAGTAACTCAGCTACTTATTATTGCCGGCAATAGGAAGATTCGAGTAAACAATTCCAAGTGAATTTAAACTTCCCATTGCCCAAGCAGGTGGCTATCAGGACTCAGTAGCTAAGTGGGTAACGCGATGGTGTTTGAAGCGAACGGTACTATGTTTGAGTCCAAGGGTGAACATCAACTGTGAGATTCAGGTACATCCAGATGACAAGTCCCACGTAGGACGAAACGCGCGTCTTGGATTCCACTGCTAGCCACTAACCATCCTTGTTTATTGATCACTCTTGTTTGTTTAAATTCTACGAAACACTTAAAAACTGTCAATAAATTAATACACTATTTTACATTCATATGGTCAAATCTTCACTTTCTACAAAAGCTCTTCTCTATTTGGGATGTTGGCACCGACAATGTTATTTAGTAAACATAATGGATTTGGTAGTCAAGTGGAAAACTCAATGGCATTGGAAACGAACAATACTGGGTTAGAGTCTTGGAGTTAACATCATCTCTGTGATAAAGGTACATCTAGCTAATGAATATCAAATAAGACGAAACGCGCGTCCTGAACTTCACTGCTAGCCTAATTTCATATATTCTATGTGAAAAATTAGTCGCAGTTAAGCCATCTAATTCTGAGAACAAAACATAGAAGTTCAATCTAAAAGGATGATGTTATATTTAGTCGTCGCCGACTGCTGTGTCGGAAAAACGCCGATCACTTATACTCGGAACGAGGGACCTCGTCAATTCCCACGATGCGAAAGTAAGAACACAAGACTGGTATAAGTGAAGATTTATTAGCCCAAAAACACTATGACAACGACGAATCGTAATAGTCTAAAATACACTCGTTTATATTATTGATTGTACACCCATTTTGAATAATAATTAGGATTAAATCACATACTCAGTTATAACAAATCACTTACTGAGCATAGTTCCTGTCAAGTGAGTACAAGAATATCGTATATTATATAGAAGAAAATATCATACTGGGAAAACAAATCAATACTACACTGAATGATCCTCACGTTGAATCAAACGGATGTCAATGTTGAATAAAATTCATAATGAGTAATCCATTCGAAAATTGAGTTTTCTTTCCATCATATCAGATGATCTATTAGAAGATCCCTAATATCTAGGTAATCAGTATTATATAAACTCACAGTTAATTATCAATCATTTGAATAAATTCCATACAGTAATAAAGAATTTGCAACCTTCAAATGAAAAGTAATAATAGTAAATGAATCTGATGAATAAAAACATTCAATTTGAGTAGTTCACCATTTCAATCAATACAGAAAATTTGTGAAATATTTTTTATATCGATTCTTATGTCACCTATTTTCTTTAGTGATTAACTGACAAAACAGCAACTGTATGATCAGCATTTTTCTATGAATAATGAAGGATTTTGTGGAAGTTACCTACTTACTTACTCCTGTTACTCCCAATGGAGCATAGGTCACCGACTAACATTCTCCAACTCACTCTATCCTGGGCCTACCTTTCTAATTCTATCCAATTCTTGTTCATTCTTCCCATGTCTCTCTCCATTTCTCAGAGTAATCTCTTCTTTAGTCTTCCTCTCCTCCTCCGTCGATCTTGAGGATTCCATTTGAAGGCTTGCCTCATGACGCAGTTGTGTGATATCCTCAATGTGTGTCCTATCCACTTCCAGCACTTCTTC